GGCACAGAAGGGGGTCGGGAGGAGAGTTGTTGGCAGTTGCCGAAGGCTTGGCGCTTGTCCAAAGTAGCATCGTTGGTGGAGAGGTCGGGATTGAGATTGGGGTTTGCGGCGTTGAAGGCGGCAATCGCTTCCTCGGGGCTCATGGCATGCGCTGGGTCGGCGATCAGGCTGTCGACCCAGGAGGTCCAGGTGAATGTTGAGCGGGGTGTTTTGAGGGCGGTGCTGCTGCCGAGGGTGGCGAGGGTGAGGGTTGTGAGGAGGACTGTTGTCTTCATGTTGGGTGGGTTGGTGGCTGGTGTCGTTGAATAGTGTGAGATGACTGCGAATGTGAAGGACTTGGGCGCGGCGTCCGTGAAGTCATTTATACCCATCTCACCTCCCACATCACCATAGACCACCGCATGAAACTTTCTCTCAGGCCTCCAAGGCAACCATATCGTGAAGTTTCCACTCCCATACCGGAGAGATCCGGTGTCAGCCCGGGGACCTTCTTGGGTTAATCGGCGAGCATGAGGATAGAGCAGCGACATAGTTCCTCATAGTAAAGACAACAGACAACCAATGACAAAGGGAATCTGATTGCCGAACACGTAACACAGCCACTGTACCGGTTCTTCAGGCTACCCATGTGGCAAAATACTCGGAGAATTGAGCGCTGAACTATCTCGCCATGAGAGTACACTCAAGGCCACCCGTATGCAGGGGGGTAGAGATAGCAAGTGGGGATGTAGGCCTTCTGTTTGTTCGACAAGGCCGTACTTCCGAAGACGGCACTGACATCGGATGGGAGCCTCAAGAACGTCAGGAAGCAAACTACGGAAGACTTCAAAAGCCTGTTACTGTGATTCAGCCCTGGAATAGTTCTTTCGATCGATTGTCAACTCGAATGACGTCGTCGTACGGCAGTCTGTGAGGGTTGTGAAAGGGTAGACCATGGTGTGCTGCGGTCCGAATACGCGGAGGCATTGGAGCAATGTGGGGGCGCTAGTAACGTCTATCTTGTAAGGCGTCCTACTTTGTACGTCTCCTTCTCTGGGCGCTGAGCAGTGGTCAAATCTACATTGAAGAAAACGTTTTGCATGAATAAATGCGGTACCTGTCCACCTCAATCTTTGTTCCGCTCACTCCATGGACCGCTCATCACAGGGGAACAACAACGGACAGATTCGTCTGCGATCTCATGCTAACATCATTTCAACTGAGAAGCGCAGCGTATACATTACTTTATATGCAGATATGCTTTCCACTATAGCAGCAGCGATGCAACGCCAGTACATGTGTTGCAATGCAAGTCCCAAACTCCGCGTGTAATGCGTGAATGATAACGGATCCAGAAAGGTACAAAGTGGGTATATAGAAATACAAAGTGTAAGAAAGGGAAGAGAAGTTTAAACGTAACATGGCGATGCAAGTCAAGCGACTCGGCGTTATTGTGGCGTTGTCATGGTGCGGGAGAGTTGAGAACGTTGGGGCATAGCGTCTTTGCGTAGCTGCCGAACAACGGCTTCGAGCTTTCGTCGTTCTTCTTGTTCCGCCTGTATAGTGTTAGTGTTCTGTAGAAGAAGTGTGTGGGAGTGACTTACCCTCAGCGCCTTCAAACCCTCAGCCGTCCGGTCCCTCATCATCTTCCTAAAGTCTTCTCTCAACATGCGAATACTAGTCGCGCCCATGTCAAGCTGAGTAGCAGCGCCATTTGGCATGCCGGGCCCTGGACTCCTAACCCCGAGCCACTTGACTTTCTCGTCACTGAGCTCGCGCTCCAGAGCTTCCTTCTCGTCGCGCAGCTTGTCGATCTGCGCTTCAAGGACTTCGCGATCCTTTTCGTTTTGGATGGCGTCCCGGGTGAGGGCTTCGTACTCGGCAGCCATGCCGGACAGCTCGGCTTTGAGGTTGCGCTCGGATTGCCGGGCTTCGGCCTCAGATTGTGAGGCAACGTCTTGCACTTTACGGAGCGCTTCTAGTTCGCCAAGGAGCGCTTGGTTTTGCTCGGTGAGCTCGTCGAGCTCTCGCTTGATAGCAGGGTTGGCGGCGGAGTCAGCGGCACGTTGCGCGCGCGTACCGTAAGCGCCGTCGAGCTCTGCTTTGGCGAAAGTGAGTTCCGTTGTAAGACGAACAATTTCGCCTTCGAGGTTGCGGAATTCCTCCTCCTTGGCATTGAGGGAGTTGGTTGCGTCCAAAGAGCGAGCCTCGGCAGCTTGCTTCTCGGCAGTTACGGCTTCGAGAGCAGCTGTAGTCTCTGTGATCTTCTCCATAGAATTGGCGAGTTGAGCCTGGATCGTTGCCGCCTCGGTACGAGCTTCGTCCTGGGCATCCCTCAATTTGGTCTCTAACATGAGAGCCCGTTCCTGCGCGTCCCGGACCTGAGCCTCGTAGCCAGCAGTGCGTTGCTCGGCCTCTTGTGACGAGAGGTTGTATGCGGTGTTGCGCTCCTGGTGATCCTTCAGCTCCTCCTCGAATGTGGCAGCACGCTTTTCAGCCTCTTGCATCTTGCTCTGGAAGTTTACAGCTTGCTCTTGCACGTCCTTGAGCTGGTTCTCGTACGCGACAGCGCGTTGCTTGGCCTGGTTAAGTTCAGTCTCAAAGGCCATCACTCGCTCTTGTACGTTGATCAGCTGAGCCTCCAGACCAGCGTTCCGCTCCTGCGTCTCGCGCAAGATCTGTGTGTCAGTCGAGACCTTTTGCTCATCGAATTGCTGTAGCTGTTCCATTGCACGCTCGAGCTCACCCTCCATGGACTTCTTCTCAGATCTCGCGCTTAGCAGATTGGTATTGAGTCGCTCGAATTCTGCCTCTTTCTGTGCGTCCGACTTGCTGTTCAGTTCACGTTGCTGCTTGATCTGGCGCATCAGGACTGATTGCTTGTCTTTGAGACTAGTCGCTCGCCTGAACAGTAATTGCACCTTTGAAGAGAAGGCCGGAAGAGAGTAGCTCTCGTTGACGTAGTCTTCGTCTGGCGAAACTTGTTCATTGGCATCGGGATCTTCGGCAAGCAACTGGCGTCGTTCACGTTTGCGTTCGCGTGCTTCTTCCTCGCCAGTGAGGATGGTTTGCCAGAGGCCCATGATTGTAGTCTCGTACTTCTCAGCCTTCTCAGCGCTCTCGGACTCGTCGACCGCAGGACCCTTAGAACGAAGCTCGTTGATTTGCTCGTTCATGGCATACTGGATTTGCTCGAGGTTGTAGAAGGAGTCTTCCATGTAGTTGAGCTGTTCGGTAGCGCCACCACCTGTGATGGCGGGTGGCGGTGGGATCTTGTCGGACTGTTCGTTTTCGGATCGAGATATTACCGCATACAGTTGGTTGTTCATGCCCTCCAGACGGCCCTCGACTTCGCTCAGAGTATGCCTTGAATTGTTGCGGATGTTGGACTGTTCGGCGGCGATGCTGCGGAGGCCCTGATCGAGGAAATCGAGCTGGCGATCTAGGGTTGACGCGTCGGGCGTTCCTTCGAGAGCCAACGGTGGCAGTGAATAGTCTTCGTCACGCTCGGGGTTCGCCTCGATGATGAGTGATCTCAGACGCTCGTTGATCTCCTGGAGTCGCGTGGCAGTCGCATTCAAGGCTTGGTCGTGACGCTCTGAGGAGGCTGTGAGATGTTTGCCGGTTTGCAGCACGTTCATGAGGTTGTCGAGGTTCTCCGGCGTCCGGTAGAAGCTGCGCTCGTCGAAAGCGCCGTTGAGTCTGCCGTCTTCGTAGGTGTTCAGGCTCGCGGGGCTGTCTGGTCTGCGGAAGCGGTCTTCTGACAGTTCGGAGTCGTCTTGACGCTGCTTCGGTCCCTTGTGCGTAAGCTGCAGTACAGCCGCAGTGTGCATCAGGAGTTGCATATCGATCATGCGCATGCGAGACTCTATCTCGAGGCACTCCCGAATGAACTCCTCAACCTTCTTGTTGCTTGACTCCAGCCCTTCCTCTGTCTTGGGGTCGTAGTCCTGCGCGGGATTGCTGCCTTTGCTGCTCTTGCTGCTCTGCCCGCGCTTGTGTCCGTTTGCCTTTTTCGAGGCCAGCCGTCCGAGGGAGCGCGTCGCATCGCGGATCTTCGTCTCCGACTCCAGTTTCCGCCTGACCGTGCCCAGACGAGTGTCCAGGCTCTTCTGCTCCTGCTTGAGCGCCTCCACCTCCTCGACTGAGAGTATGTCGAAATACTGGCTGTCTCCGATTGCCGTCTCAACAAGCAAGTGCATAGCCACGGGATCGGTATTCAGCGCGTCCGAGTTTCGCTTTCCCGAGTTGCGCGGTGTGTATACGCCATTCTCGCGGATGGTCTCCCTGCGGCCGTCTACGAAGACCTCTGGGGGCGGTATGAAGGCGCTGGCACCGAAGCGCGGGGAGATCTGGTAGGCCATGGGGAAGAAGCTGGGCGAGGCGGTGCCATTGATGCCGGACGGGTAGTTGGACGTGGGCGAGGGAAAGTCATAGAGGGCGCGGGGACTGAGCGTGTCCCCGACGTAGGGGTACTGGGTGCGCAGGCCATTGGCGGTCATGGTTCTGAATCTGAGCGAGCGACGCGGCGACTCGGGGCGTTGGGGGGTTATAAAGGACCGGATGGAGAAGGCGACGGGAGCGCCCAACAGTAATACTCGCGCAGCCAGCGGGGGTGGTGGGCGCGCTCACGGCGAGCAGCTCAACATGGTTGCAATTGGAGAGTTGGCTCAGGAGACGCTACTCTAGCAGTCTGCTCCTAGCACTCGACTGCGCCCGTCAAGGGGTGAATGAGCCACTAGCCGGCGGGAGTTCACGCGTTCATGCGCGCTTGGCAGGCACCGCCCATCCAGACATTCCCCACCATCCCGCGTTCTTGTCTCGTATTCGCTGCGCAGTCCTGACGACACCATAGCTGGCGTCCCGTAGCGTGCCCCGCGTGAAATATTGCTCTGCGGTGACTTTAGTGCTGCTGTATCTCGTAGTGAAAGCGCTGCTCCCATCTGATCGCGTCTCAGTTCGCCGCATGCCAAATTCGGATCTGCACTCCGCTATCGATAACGTCCGTGTCAGTCAACAACATGAGCGCACGCGCAACCTACACCAGAGACCAAATAACAAAGTACTTCGACCGCCTGGGGTTGCCTGACCAAAAGAGAAAGTACGATGTAGCCGATCTGGACCCCGACAGCGCACTGGAGTACCTCGCACTGCTCCAGAAGCTGCAGCTAGCAGCCGTGCCCTTTGAGAACATCACCCTGCATTATTCGGCCCATCATTCCATCTCTATCCATCCGGAGGAATTATTCAAGAAGATCATTGACGATGACAATGGACGCGGTGGGTATTGCATGGAGAACAACAGACTCTTCGGCACGCTGTTGAATTCGCTGGGGTTCACCCTGTATTCAGGCGGCTGTAAAGTTTGGGCTGCTGACAGCTGGACGGGCTGGTCGCATATGGTGAACTTTGTCACCATCGGCAACACCAAATACCATGTCGATGTTGGCTTCGGGGCTGACGGGCCTGTTGTCCCAATGCCTCTCGACCGCTCGGGCACAGTCCAAAAGCACATCCAGCCTGCATCGGCCCGTCTCCAATGGCGCAACATTGCAGGCAACACTGACCCCGACCAGCGCTTCTGGGTTTACGAATACCGGAGGAACGACGAGAGCGACTGGGAAACCAAATACTCGTACAGTGAGCTGGAATTCCAGCCTCAAGACTACGCAGTCATGAGCTACTACACTTCCACCAGCAAGCATACTTTCTTCACGCAGATGGTGGTGGCAGACAAGAAGATTCTAGGTGATGATGGGGAGCTAGAAGGCAAGATGAGTCTGGCGGCTGCTTCGTTGAAGTGGAATATCAAAGGTCAGAAAACCAAAGAAATCGAGTTTAAGAGTGAGGGAGAGAGGTTGGAGGCGCTTGAGAAATACTTTGGGATGAAGTTCCGAGACGTGGAGCGAGAAGGCATTGCCGGACTGCCATCAGAGATCAAGTAGACACCAGTACTGAACATTGAGAATTGTTGATTGCTCGCATGCCTACTATTGCTGTACATGCCGTAGACCCTCCCAGCGCGATGCAGTTACTATTGGGTATGTTGTATGCTGTGTCGGAGTATCTCGCATCGTCTAGAGGAATCGCTTCTCGCACTGCCCGTGGTTAGCATCTTCCAGGAGCCCAGCACGTCCATACGCACCCTCCATGGGTTGTTGAGCTCGAATCCTTCCGGGGCAATCGGCTTGTCTGTCTGTCCGCGCATGAATCCTGTCAGTCGGCGGTCGCGCTCCATCACTGGGTCTCGTAAGCATGTCGCATGAGGTCATCGTGAAGCTGTCGTACTTTGCTGTACACTTGTTAGCTTACTCCAGGTGCGCATATGTCTCTCGCAACCTACCCTGTCCCATTGGTCGATACCCCTCCTGGTCTTCTTTCCTCCGTTCTGGATCTCCTTGAGCTTTCCGACAGACACGGCGCTGAATGCGAAGAACTGGCCCCCGTGTTAGCAGCCTTTCACTCCTAGGCGCGCCAATTACTCACGCCCGTCATAATGGCATAGGGCAGCAGAGCCTCGAATGGGACACCCATGATTGCGGTAGTGTGTTCAGGCGCGGTGGTGTTGCGGGGTGGGCTATCAGTGCGGACTGGCTGGAGGTGCCGACGGCGTGAAGTGAGGTGCGGCGGCCGTGCGTCAACTGCTCCTTGGCGGCAACCCCGACTACGACCAAGGGTGTCATTTCGGACGACGACAGCGCATCGCCCATACCATTTCCTGCCGAGCGACAATTATTCTCGGTGTCGCACAGACTCACCCTTTCATACGAGGCGCGAAACTCGCAACCTTCAGCCGCCAGACCCCCGAAATAATTGCCTCCGCCGCGATCGCACCTCCGCCTTCCCCACAGTCACGCCCAACGCGACTACGAGACCGCCGCATCTGCCTCTGGCGATTCACGACCTCTAAAACCGATCACACGATACACCTCAGTCGAAAACACGCGGTCACAAGTTTCACGGGTCACCACAACGCGCTAGGACACAGACACGACGCGCTCACCAACCACTGCATGAGAGAGCCTCCGCGGCTGCTACCGCTCGCGCAATCAATGTTCTAAGATCTATACCAATTGGACTGCGACAGTGGCGTATCTTGCCTCCAAGGTGGCCTCTGCCGTCAACTTCGCAATGGCGGAAATCATGGGCCAAGCCGCGGCCAACACCGACCCGGACGATATCGATGCGGATGGCGAATACGAGATGGACGATGTAGAGTACGCGCCCGGCCCGCCTATCGAGGATATGCCTGATGCTGAAGGCCAAACTACAGACGCTGAGGGTTCAGACGTGGATGCCGAGGGCGAAGATGTTGATGCTGAGGGTGAAGATGTGGACGCCGAGGGTGAAGAGGTGGACGACGATGAGGACGAAGCTGAGCCCGTCGGTGCTGTCAAAATCGCACTGCGCCGACCCAGGTCCGATGACGAGGAGGAGGATTATGATGGCGACGATGTCGCGAGAGAATCCTCCGATGCCAAGTCCAGCGACAGCGACGAGTCAAGCAACCTCGATTCCGAGGAGGAGAACCAATGGCAGGCGAGCGATGGTGGTGAAGAGGATGAAATCATCAGGTCGAACAACCCCAACGTGTGCATGTAAGTATCGCCCCAGAATATTGAGCCTGTAAAACCATTTACTAACTGAGCAGATATTGCAATTTAGATGAGGACAACGACCCCAGCCCGGAATTCGAGGAGTACCTCTCTTGCGCCCAGTGCGGAGACAACGGTGAGTACTCAGTGGGGAGGTTCGACTTACGATGTGGTAGCTCACACGTTGTTGGTCCAGCACATCGGCAATGCGCGCGTAACGCTAATACGCTTAGTCCCGATGACGGTATGTTCCCTTGTCAGGCCCGAACCGCACCTTACTAACGACGAATAGATGCAAAGCTTTGGCGCTGCGAAGGATGCATCAACAACTTTCCAACGGAAGCAGAAGAAGAGGCAGACGAGCCTTCGACTCGTCGGAGACGTTCATCTGCGAACAAATTGACCAAAGAGTTGCTCCCTTCACACCGTGGGGTTGACCCCGAAGGACATTCAATCTTCAAAGAGCTAATTCTTCCCGACGAATCAGCAGATGGAATACGTTCGCTGCGCAAACGCAAGACTTCGCAGGAAGAGGAAGCGCCGATTCCGTCGAGGCAAACACGGAAGAAGCGGAGACCTTCCGAAGCATCCAACTCAGATGCGGCGCCATCAGTGCCTGCAGTCTCACCCCGGCCACCTTCAAGAAGCGTACGAAGTGCTCGTAGCGTCATGACGGATGGTCACGAGAGTGCAGGCGAGGCAGAGCACACCGGTTCAGATCGAGAGGCAGGTCGCTTAAGACCAGCGCGAGCACGTCGTGGCCAGCCTAAGAGGACCGACAAACGACCACTCGCATGGATAGAAGAGGCCCAGCCTGGAAGCCTGATTATCGCTTTTCATCTCAACAACGAGAGAGTCCAGAAGATCGTCACCGCCAAGCCCAAAGTAAAGACACTCACGCGCGAGCAAGAGCGACAGGAGAGGCGGCGCGAGAGGGATAGAGAACGTCGCGAAAGAAATCGTCGGGCTGCACAGGCTGCACGAGAATCCTCAGAGGTCTTGCATTACCCAACAATCCACATTCAAAATGCCGCTCCGTTCCCAGGCTTCACCGACAGGGAGCCAGACGAGGTCAAGAGCAAGCCCTACGGTGGTGTACTTTCAGAAGCGGATGCCGATACATCCAAGACCTATCCTTCGCCCGCCGACCGGAAGCGGTTCGACGATGCTCGTATCAAGGCTGAAGAAGAATGGAAAGTGAAGCAGGCTGCACTTTACCCGCCCGAACCACTCCGGTCGCACAAGCAAGCAACCACAGCGAGCAAGATCAAATGCGTCAATTTCGGTGGCTGGGAGATCGACACCTGGCACGCTGCGCCATATCCTGAAGAGTACAGCAAAAATCGGGTGCTTTACATATGCGAGTTCTGTCTCAAGTACATGAACTCGGATTATGTGGCATGGCGGCATAAGGTAAGCATTTCGACTTCTTTCCATGACCATATACTAACAAACACAGCTCAAATGTCCAGCGAAGCACCCTCCTGGCGACGAGATCTACCGCGACGGCAAGTACTCTTTCTTCGAGGTCGATGGCCGAAAGAATCCAGTGTACTGCCAGAATCTCTGTTTGCTCGCCAAGTTGTTCCTCGGTTCCAAGACGCTATACTACGATGTCGAGCCCTTCTTGTTCTACGTCATGACAGAAAATGACAACTTCGGGTGTCATTTCGTCGGCTACTTTTCGAAAGAGAAGCGTCCCAGCTCGCTCAACAACGTTTCTTGTATTCTCGTACTCCCCATTCACATGCGCAAAGGCTACGGACAGTACCTGATCGAATTCTCCTACCTCTTGACCCGCGTGGAGAGAAAGACGGGAAGCCCCGAGAAGCCTCTCAGTGACATGGGTTTGGTGAGTTATCGGAAATACTGGCGGCTTGTCCTATGTGAGGAACTACTCCAACAAAAAGCCGCGATCAGCATATCGGCCATATCAGATCGCACCGGCATGACACCTGATGATATTGTATCAGCGTTGGAAGGCCTACGAGCTCTCGTGCGCGACCCTGTCACGAAGAAGTACGCGCTTCGCCTTGATTTGAACTACTTCAAGTCATACATTGAGAAATGCAACGCTGCAGGCAACCCAAAAATTAACCCAGAGTGTCTGATATGGACACCATACGTTATGGGACGTCTAGGCCAGTACGAAGATGGACCCGCCCTGCAGACAGTACAACAGCGCGACGAAATCGAAGAAGAAGACAAGCCCGCACCCGAGGAAGGAGTCCAGATGGCCGCAGCAAAAGCCAACGGTACGGGCGATGAAGCAGACGGCCCCCACCCCGCCGAGGACTCTGTCAACGGCGGCTCACCAGCCCCCGGCACACCCCTCGCCAACGGCTCCACCGTCGCACTCGCCGGCTCCCACATGGACGAACCCGCAATCCCGCCCTCCCGCTACGAAATCTTTCCTCCCATCCCGGGCCAACCTGCACAGCGCCGCCGCCCAGGCCGCCCCTTCGGCACCCGCCGACGTACCAGCACCCCCAATCGCGTCCGCAACACCTCCCTCTCCATCCACACCGCTCCCGTATCCAAAATGCAACTCTCGCCCAGCCGCGGCGCAAAAGCCCTTATGTCGCCCTCCGCCAACGGCGCCCTCACGCCCGGTACCATTTCGCTCCGCCGCACACGCAGCCGCCTCGGCGAAAGCGTCACCAATGGTGATGACGTCTCAGACGGAGGCGCGGTCAAGGCCGTCGTTGTTAACGGGAGGAGGAGTACACGGAGTTCTGCTAGCTCCAGAGGTAGTATTGACTTCAAGGGCAAGGGCAAAGCGCTGCCCATTGAAGAGGAACAGGAACATGAACAAGAACAAGAACAGGAGCATGATGAGGACATCGACGCCGATGGCGACTATGACGAGGAAGAGGGGGATATGGATGTTGATGCCGAGGGCGAGGAGGACGATGATATCATCATGCAGGATGCATGAGTGTTTGCCGAACACGTTTTTTTCTCTTCTCTTCGGATCACGTCTTGTAATATTTAGTATCGGTGGTGGTGGTGTTGATCTGACACCTAACTACCTTTTTTCTCGTTCTCCTTTCTATTTATGTCTAGCGCGGAGAACTAGGGCTTCGATTCTTTGTAGTGTTATGGTTGTAAGCGGGTTGGGGTTATTGGTGTATATGCATTATGGAGATACCTTGGGATGGAATGGGATGGGAATGCGAAGCGGGGCGTTGTTCAATGTATCTGCACATGTCTCCTGAACTGGGCTTGATGTGTGGTTTTTTTCTGAGAAGAGAGTGTTAGGATTCGTTTCTCGCACTCTCTTCGCAGAAAAAAACATGTGTTGAGTTTCAATTCAGGGGATGTGTGTTCATTTATGGAATATTCTCTAT